GATGCTGTGAGAGGCCATTGAAATTAAAAAACATCTTAATTTCAACAAGGATGATGTTTCTCCATACCATCTCTGATGAAAAATCCCATGCAGTACTAATTATCTTTAAATTTATTCTAATTCCATTAAAATTAATAATAAAATTTAATTAAAATATAATTTATATTGTTAAAATAAAATAAATTGTAAAGCATATGTAGCGTAAACTGGAATGTTCGTTGGAAAAATTTAAGAATAAGGTAGTCAACTTGTAATTAATTAATAACTTTTGTAACAATAGTGAAAAATAGGGTGGTTTGCATTAATATTAGATATAACTGTTAGATAACTTTACCATATCATTCACCCGTGACCATGGGCCCTGTAAAGGACCCGAACGGTGGGTTTGTTTGAAAAAACAAATAATATACGCGACTTACATCCGAAAAAAAAAATAGTTCCAATTTAGTTCTAATTCAGTATCGAAATTATTATATGCTTACATTATTGAACAACATGGAAATGGCGTCAGACAGCCGAGTAAACACTCTGCTGTTTTTTTATTTTTATATTATATATTTTTCTGTTATACATATATGTCTGTACATCCAAATAAACGTTTTATCTATCTATCTAGTGGAGTATTTAATTTAATATCAATAAAATATTATATTAATATATATTTTTAATATAATAAGAAATCTCCAATTGTACCACACCATTGAGGTAACCAAATAAAATGCAGTCAAATCCAAAAAGGATGTTTTGTCACATCTTCATCCTTGGAGTTCCACTTTGTCTTATAAAGCACATAAACCCACACACGCTTAGGTGTTTGACTTGCGCAAATTTACTTGTCTAAGTCGAAACTCGATCGTGTATCTGGTCCTTTAAGCTGTAATCTAAGTCGCAGCTCGCCTTTTTTTTCCTTCTTTTGCTGGACATTAGTTACATTTTTTATTTACATGACAAAGGAATACTAAATATACTTCTAAAACTAAGTTCGCGACCTGGTATCCCGAACTAGGGAATTCAGAGTACAAATTTATTTAACAGAAACTCCCTGTTCTATGAGTCTTGTCCAGACCAATAGTCACATAGTACCAGAGGAAGATGCGACCAAATTAGAAAAGTTCGTTTCTCCCAAGTTTGTTCTGCCAGGAATCGAATCCGAGATCGAATCCGAGACCTCATCAGGGCATTCCGTAGTGCTAACCGTTGGGCCACAGAGATTGTCATCGCAAAACAACAGTAGCGATATTGTAATCCGGTTTAAAGGGAAATATCGATTGGAATCAACGTTATCTTTTTATCATATGTTTGATGGATGAGAACATCATTTGGTTGTTATTTCGCTAGATTATAATAGTACGTGGACAATTTAGAAGAAAGCTAAAAAAAGGTTGAGTTACGCTATAACAATGTTCGTATGACCACTGGCCACATGTACCCGAGACATTCAAACGCAATTACCGCGTTTGCGCTAAGATTTTTATTTAGATCTTAATTGTATATTCATAAGGTATAAATTAAACCCTTAGCGCAAACGCGATAGTTAAGTTTACATAATATATTTGAAAACTGACACTAAGGGCTCAGACGTTTACTCGAAAACAAAAGACGAATTAAGTCATAATTTTTTTCAAATTAAACGTTCTGGCATATGTCGATTCGGCCTTCTTTCTTGTCTTTTCCTCTAAATATATCCATGAGTATTATAGTCTCCATCCAAGTGTTCTAGTCTGTTACAAATAGAATAATTCATGAGACAATACAAATGTCTGTTATATACAATGGTCGGAAAAAGGTGTTATCATTTAAAATAAACTGCTGCTTTGATGAGTTCTAGACCATTATCAAAAATGTAGTTTTAATTATTGTAGGATAATTGGAAATATGAATTTACAGGACATGCTAAGTAAGATGAGGGCAGTAATGGTCATCATTCTTTGGTATATGAATTCCAATGTTATTACAATAACACGATAGCTTTGACTTGATGTTCTGCAGACTACCCAATTCCTCAATTATTTTTTTTATTAATTACTGTAAGTAAAATTATAATTTTTGGGCTTACAGGAGGTGATATTATTGAATTTCTGCCTCCATAGCATGACTACGCATGATAGTCGCGACGCGCGCGATAAAATTGAAATAAGGGCGCTCTATTGACTGTCTCAATCAGATCAAATTTAGATAGCCAATAGCGCGTGCTTATTTCAAATTTATCGCGCGTGTCGCGACTATCATGCGTAGCCATGCTACGGGGGCTGGAGTAGGTACAGTTTTGTGTCGGGAGTTGTGTAATATTTAATTAAACTGTATTTTAAATAGTGATGTATAATTATTGTAACAATGTTTTTATAACATGTCTGTAAAGAAAACCTCGTGGACAAAGATGCATAATATTTTGAGATAGTAATTTAAATTACACGTTAAGCAAAACTGAATTTTGATGTTGACAGTACTTTTTAAACAGAGTACCAGTATCCACTAAGCAGAGGACCTACGTAAAGAATAGAGTACCGAAATAAATTGTTGTGGATTGCAAAATCAAGACGTTTTTACATAGGGATAAAATTGAATATTGGTAAAAGAACCTGACTCATGAAGCACATCTTCAGGCAAACAGATAATAACGTCAAACTTGGAAAACTTTTCATGTTGTTTCTTAGACTTTGTTCATATTCTCAAACCATCAAATTTGATGAAAACAAAGGTTATCTCCCAGCGAATAAGCCAGTCTGGCTTCAAATGTGGCCAACGCGAGGCTCAAGCTAAGCTGATTTGCAGGATCGAGCAACAACCCACATCTGGTAAGCAGATCGTGTCTGTCAATATTAGAGCAATCACGGGCGATCGTTATGCAGATGATCTAGATATTGAAAAGGAGCGTAGAGTGCTGGCTGTGAGAGGAAACATGCGGGCCCATAGATTTACTCGTTGTACGTAAGAGGTGAAAGTTACGCTTTTTAAAGCTTTTTGTCAGTCAGCGTACTTGAGTAGTCCATGAGTTAGATATACACAGCGTATACATATAATGCAATAAGAGATCAGTACTATAGCATCATCACGATGCTGCTGGGACTGCCACGGCACTGCAGTCCGTCAAGGTGCGAACAGATGTGTCCGTCAGAGTGGCTGGACCAAACGAGGTATACAAATCAAACTGTGCTCATTGCACAGTTTGATTTGTATACCTCACCTTTATTGACATATTTTCTACCTTTGCGCTAACGGAAATATTAAAGAAATAAAGTGGCCAGCCATTCTGACGTCAGTTTGGCTGGACCACTTTACGTTTTTCATGGTTGTAGCAGTATACAATTTACTTTTTTATTTATTCATTTACTATTTACTACCTAATTTCTACCTAAACTAATTTAGGAAGCTTCGATAAAAAGTTATTTTAAAAAAATATTAAAACGCCTTTGGTGTCTTACAAAACGACAGTTTATCTTCTCCGTGTAATTTTTCTGACAAGTGATTAATCAGAATGAATGTTAGCAAAATACACTTGGCATGCAAAGAAGTGCATTAGCTATTTATTAATTAAAGATTATTCAAAATAAGTAATCACTAATCAGTTAGTCAGGCTTTGCCAACTTTTCTGAAAGGGCTGTCTGCTCTTCGTCAAAAGATTGTTATTTGTACAGACACAAGCAGAGGTGTCTATTGATTTCTGCAAAGATCTAAGCTTAGTCGTTGAAAGCAATTTTTGTAAAGAAATCAATGACTTTAATCTGTAGACAAGAACATTCACAGCAACAAAGCTCATGTTCCAAACAAAACACTATCAATAGTGATAGTGTTTTGTTTGAATGTTGAATTTTGTCAAAGAGTATCAGTACCGTAGTACCGTGGACAGACGTGACAGTCTATAGGTACCTATGGGGATTGAGCTACGCAGGCAGATAATATTGAGTGTTCACCAATTATATTTATGCATACTTGGGGAATTAACGTAGCTAAAGTCCCTGGCAGTCGCTATAGTGTGAAATTTTATATACTATTTCGCGATTATCAAATATTATAATAAACAAATAAATCCAAAATCACAACATTACTTACCGAATCAATGGGAACAATTTGAAACTTTAAATTTATGTTCACACAATTAGTCAAATAGTGAAACGTGAGTAACACACCGATGTAAATTAGTTTTCAAAGAGGACCGCATCTGTGTCCGCCATCTTAAATGTTTGACAACCAACTAAACGATGTGCAGCCTGTTCACCGCACATCAGCGAAACACAGCGTGTGCATGGAACGCCGCAACTCGTACGCTAGTACATAGATGTCTTAAACGAAATCTATAAAATTCGTTAAAGAAATGGATATGCATAATTATACATGTACCTAACTTGAAAACATTTACCTTCTTATGAGCTTGGCTACAAGGTAAAACTAGTTACAATGTCCTAGGCCACTATTCACTATGTCGCATTAGCGCTGTGTAGTAGAGCCGAATACAGAGAGATGCAATAAAATGCAGAAATTGTCACTTTTTAAATAACGCTCGGTATGAAAGTACCATATCGCCAATTAATAGATATATGTAGACTTACCAAGTGTTGTCTTAGTATGTATTCCAGTAGCAGGCACATACTTGTTTATTGTCTTGTCACGAATGCTGACAAAGTACAATGCCTGCTGATCGTGGTCCCAGTGGGGGCCCTCGCCCAGTGCAACTTCTTCTGTGATTTTCTGAACTTTCACCATCTATCAAATTATTTTTATTCGTCATAAAATTCAAATAGGCAAAATTATTTTAGTAATAAAACGTAAATTAACAATATTTTGAACGTAGAATAAACAATATTTTGAATTTAGTATAACAATTGATATATAAGGCGACACAAAAATTAGGAACTTAATATAAAATAAATCTTAATGTGCACGTTACCTTCCTGCACGAGAGTGTCGACACGAATAACGACGGCCAGGGGCGAGCAGCCAATAAATAGAGTAAAACCCAATCTACTATGTGCTTGATATAAAAGTCAATATTGTTGAAATACAGTACCTATATGCACTACATGTACTTACATTGGTATCGCTATATACCGAGGAAAAGAGTATAACAAGCCGGCGTTGTCGCAAAACGCTATCCTAAATGATAACAACCACTTTTGTTTAAAGGTCATTCTGAACGGGCCATTAAGATAATAAAACAGAGACTTCACTTTGGCCGTTCAAAGAAGACTTGTAATTCTTGTAAAGTACATATAAAACATGCGTATTGAATATAGTACGCTCTCTGTATTCTCGAGCAAACAATAGCGCCTTAATTTTCCATTAAATAAGCGTATTTGTAAAGAATAGTGATTGATTTGCCGATAAAATTTTAGTAATTTTATTGTAAGTAATCATTGCCACAGCGCACAGATCAACGCTGTAGCGATTAAAATGTGTTTAGTTACTTTGGAATGTAAGGAAACAAGATAAAATTCTAAAATGAAACTTTTACTTCCTATTAAACAAAGTTTCAAAAAAAAAAAGAACTGAGAAATACGTGGAGTGAGGTTGAAGTAGCGAGGTTATTTAAAGTGGAATATAATTTGTTTTTAACGACGGCTTTGGATACTTGGACATTGCTTGAACATTAAAACATGAACAAATACAAAAACAAATCCGTAATAGATCGTTTCAGCACGTCAGGTGGAGCATACAATACGTCGTCTACTTCACAAATAAGAGCCTATGCACACGGCGTGTTTTATACACGCCGACGACTCGCAGATACGCGCCGTAAGCACGTATGTATCGCGTATTTTAATTATGTTTGTTAATTACAGTAGTTTTTGAAATGAAGCAACAACATGAAATTCTAAGTGTAAAATCCAGTAGAGTATACGCGCAGATTACGCGCGTTTACGGCGCGTATAAAATGAAGAATATAAATTCCGAAAAGTTTTTATTTAACCTTAAAAGTCACGTATTTATCAAAACGCCCTCGTATGTATAAACCCTGTACAAACAAAATGTTATTAAATCGTCATTTAAAAAACACTAACGGCATGCCACTGACCTCATACACTTATGCTCTAAAATCGGAATCTTATACTAAAATTTTTTATCCCAATGTTAATGTTGCGAGTATATACAGCCGTCGATTGCCGTTGTTGTTGATTTTTGATGCTATTAGCGTATCATTTCAAATCTTAATAGATCTTAATAGATTATCTAATGATAAAATAATCTCCTTATGCTCTATTTACATTGCGGCAGGACGGAAGCGTATTTCGCCTCACTGCGCGAGAAGGCGCCCGCAGTCGCGAGAATGAACCGCGCGAAAGTCCAATGAGCATTGCACAATATCGTTATAAAAGTTCGCTTTCATTTCGTTCCGCCTCAATGTAAATTGAACCATAGTCCATCCAGTCAATGACTATGTTTGATAATACAATAACCGATAGTATAATGGCCTGCGTAGAACGATCAACTAGTTTCTGTGATAAGCAGAGATCGTATTAGACAGTATATTTTCTTAAACTTCAAATAATAAGTCTTTCCCTTCACGCGCTGCGAGGCGAATTTCGCTTTAGTTTCGCCGCAATGTAAATTGAACCTAAGTCATCCGTAGTACAGTATAATCTTTCTTAGGATTATATCTGTCAAGTAAACGAATCACTATTGTTTGAAAACAAAAGAAATATTTCAAATTTAAAGACACACTTCCATTAAAATGTCGATCATCGGTACCATCACCAGGTAAATACTCTTCCTATCCGATTGGTGATGAATAGTTAAACAAAATGGAATTCGAACATGGACAATAAATGAGAAGTTTATAAGCGGTTATGGGGTTAAGGAACAAATGACAAATGAAATAAAAACGAATGTTGAAAAATCAGTTGACATTTATTTGATGGAATTTGGAAAAAAATACACATATCTCAAAGGCGCTCCGGTATTTACGCTAACTTTGAGCTCTGTACAACCACTAACGTACATCTACCGTATAGTATATTCACAACACAATTATTACCGTACTATTTATTGTAAACTGATATGACAATAATAATTTTGTTCTTTGGCAGTCGTGTATTGGTCGATGCCTGCCTCTCGTGTGCGCACGACGTACAACAATGTTGGCACAAAAGTATTACTCGGAGAAATAAAATGTCGCCTCCTTCTGACAACTTGGCAAAGTAACTGACGGTAATCTTAAAAAAAATTAACACTAAACTATTGTCACGTAAACATTAATTAACGACTAACATAAAATCTAACTCCTAGTGATTTTAAAACTAATACTGAAAACACCAAAGATGACTTTACATTAAACATCACACATATACCTACAGAAGAGTACACTTATATATTTTTTTTCGTTTTTTTTAATAACGCTCTATGCTAAACAATGAAGACCTCGTTACGTATTTAGTTTGATATAATTAGGTACTAGTATGTTACTTATCTCTACCAGAATTTTATGGGGTGACCCCACTCAGTGAAACAAACTTTGGTAATTTGATAAAAAAACAACAGTTAACATCAGCGGGTGTAAGTTCAAAATTTTAGAATAACTGTTTATAATTATCAATTTTAAAGTAAAGATTTCACAAGATTTTGTAAAATGCGATAAAAATATGGGCGGATTCAATGTTTCACAAAGTCTGAAATAACTTACGAGTTTCTCTGTAAAATTCCAAATCGGGTAACACTCATTTTGCAGCTGCGTCTTCTAACACTTACAAACCCTATCGCACCCACGTATCTTTTCAAGCTTCTCTAAGATTACATCCAAATCACAGCCAGTATCTTTTTTGGAATTTTAGAAAAATATCTTTATTTTTTTACGGTGCGTATACGTAACATGTACATAGTACAATTATATCGTTATGAAATAAATTCTACTTACAAAATGGTAATGACATCAGAAAATACGGTATAGTTTATTCTCAAGATTGACTGTGCGACTGTATACCTTTACATAATTGTAAGTGTGTTGAAACTGTGTCTTGGCCTGCCAAGATGTAAAGAAAATATGAAAATACATGTGGGCTACATAAAAGCTAAATCATACAAACAGGTATGGGAACTGACTAAGGCGAAGTTATGAGCAATCGTCAGGGCTTCATGCCTTACGGTAAATGCACAGACTTTGGATACAATAAAATGCATTTATGGACTAGGTATTCTTGTTGACAATATAGTTTTTACATATTCTCTTAGACCGGTTATTTTACCGAATAATTCCCGTATGTGTCCTTTTAATACGTGACTAACAAAAAAAAACTACCCAAGCACCAAGGCTTTCTTAACAGCTTTGAGATCATAGTAGGATACTTTCATGTGTTTATTTTAAACTTAACATTTTATTGTTGGATTTAGTTAGAGATTTTATTTACCTTGAGATCCGTGACGTAAATCTACTCGTGCCATTGGGAACGGTATCTTATTTCTAACTAATCTAAAGTAAGCCGAACATAAGCATCGACTCATTACAACACGTTGTTAGGTCTGTGTCAGCACGTTGTCTTCCGCCGATTTTGAGCCCTAATAGAAAATGGATCGATGGTGCATATTTCTAAAAAAATAAAGCGCGGTCTTCCTGTAATTTGGGCGTCATAATTACACGCAAGAAGAAAAACAAAAAAACACATTCTGAAGTACTTTGAAACAAAATCTCTGAATGGGCTAATGATTTGACAAGAATAATTTGAAAGTCAAGTAATGTCAGTATTCTGATGAGTGGCCAGTGTTGTAATAAGCGACAGGTAAACTAAGAATAATTTTACTTAGATTTGCGACATACAACCTACATTATTTTTACATTGGCTTAAAATTTACAGTTTGACCTTACGTTAAGGAATGATACACAGTGGCTAACACTACGCAATGTATGTATAATGCCGATCCATACAAAAATATCTCGAAAACCCTGTCAACCTCCACAATTTTGCAGCACCAATGAACACTTGGGGATTAAAATTTAGAAAATAATCTAAGTGGATTCTAAACGGGCAGTTCAGTCGAATACGATCACAGTGTCGTCGCGCTAATACCTCAGCAGCGCAGTCGCTTCGCGTCTTTTGAGATTATAGTGGGAATTACTAAGCTGTATTCATTCGTTGCAAACTGTTCAGAAACTTTCTTTCCCGCCTTTAGATACAATGAGATTTCACGTCGTTAACGACCGCGCGCTTCGGCGTTAAATAATTATAATATAATTACCAGATTTGTTACATTAGGGCAATGTGGTGTCTCTCAGTCTCAGGTTCGAATCCATCGTCAAATCACTCGTGCGTTCAATGAGTACAAAACCGTCCCTTTTTAAGTACAAGTTACAACACAAATTTACAATATTTAGACAATAATAAACGTTGTCTTTTCCCTTATCAACTTCCCAAATCGCTCTTTGCCATGTGCAGATTACTTTTAAATTGCCTTTGGCACAGCCTTTTAAGTACCTTAAAATAGGTTTGTTAAAAAATATTGCTTTTGTAATTGACATATATCACTGTTTTATCGCATAAAACATGACAGGATCTCTTTAAGGAGTGGACTTTGATATCTAACTAAACTCTGGTAACATTTTGACATTGCATTCGAAAGATTCAATCTCATCAAACCGAAAGACTATTTTGACCGGTAATCTTACCTATAAGATGGAAACACGTTGTGATTACTTTTACATACTAGTATAACTCTACACATAGCAAAGCGTATAATATCACATTGAAAAGGCAGTACAACACATTTTCTTTGTTCACAATTATGCCAGTTTCTTTTTGTTTTTGGGTCAATGTGATATTATGGATATTCGAAGACCTTTTTCGATGACCGTTCTCGTTGTAGATCACGTTTAGTGTCACTCGTTGCATGGCGAGATGTCGATTTGCAAAAATCCTTTGTTAGTTATGTAGTGACACCAAACTTTTTGTCGACTAACGTTGGATTATCCGTGTCGACGTGAACATAAAGAAAACTTTATAATTGTTGGTTTCGTTGGACAATCCAAAGCAGTCCAAGTGGACCACTGCCTGCACTGGCATTTTGCATTGGCTACAGCGACGACATTATTGTATCTTTAAACGTATTAATGTGACGTTATTTGACAAATATATAATACGTATTGAACGGGCGTTTATGTTTAAATATCCAATGAATAGGGTTGTGAACACACAAGAATGTGTATAGTTTGTCTTTTTTGAAGACGGAGCAAAAAGACAGCTCATTGAGCAAAAGTGTTGCCTGCTTGCGAGCAGCTAGTAATTGCAGTCGAGAAATATTCCATCGACAATCGACTGAATATTGGTCACGCTTATAGAATAAATAGCCGAACTTGTTTCATTTGAATCACCCTCGACCCATTATTCATACAAATACAAATGAGCACAAGTTCATTTGATTTGTCAATTTTTGTAAGTTCATACATACAGTATGAACTCACAGAACTTACACTGCATTTAGTGCTATATTTATGAAAAAACCAGAGACATATTTTAAAGTTTTACATTTTAATTCCGTATAGATAATCAATACCAGCTATTCGTGTTAAAGTATATATGAATAAAATTGATCTCGATACTAGTAGGCCAACTGTCAAAATAAGAATAAAGAAGGCAATAACGCAATTAGTAATCATTAGAACGTCGTATTCAGTAATTTTTGGCAAAATTTTATCTTCTTTCACAATCTATCGACAAAACTATCGACAACACCACATAACTAATTAAAATTTTATGACAACTGGCAACCCTATAAATGTCATTATACTCCGTCTTCAAAAAAGACAACTATATATAGATGGGCTAATAGTTAAATTAGTATTAAACATTTGTAATTTATGAACGCCGTGTACTTTCTGTCCATTTTCAAAAATGTTCAATAGCTAGGACATTGTTGAAAATGGAGACTTCGGGATACCGGACTAGGACTAAGGAATTAAATAAGTCGAAGATGTAACCATTACAATCCTGCTAGCGTCGACGCCAGAGCTGCTCTGCTCTACGATACAAGAGTAAGATTGAAAGTTGCTTTGGTAACATTTTAATAGTTTCACGTAGAGCGGTCACGGTGAACACGTCGGATTTCATTTCACACGTCTACTACAATTTAAAATGAACAGTTAATAGATTAATGGCAGTCGTTCGGGACACTAAAAATTTGCGTACAATATAGATACGCGTTATCGAGCATGCGCCCGTAGCGGTCGTGTGAAACGGGCAGCGGCAGCGGGCAGGCGGCGGTCGCGGCCGTCGCGGGACGGCCTACTTGTGGTCGGGGTGGTGCGGCGCGTGCGGCGGCGGGTGGTGCGGCGGCGCGTGGTGCGACGGGTGCGCGTGCGGCGGCGGGTAGTGCGGCGGCGGCGCGTAGTAGGGCTGCAGCGGCGCGCCGTACTCCACGCCCTCCTCGTAGCCCACGTAGCCCATGCCGCCCATCATGCCCATCATGGCTGCGGACAGGCGGACAGGCGCGCTCGCGTCAGGCGGTCTGCTACTTTCTTTCGATCGAGATACTAGCCGAAAATTGCCATTATCTCTCGTACGTTAAGTGGAGCGGAAGTGACACGTTGAATGAAGTTCAACATTTCAAAATTAAATATTTTCACGGAAAGAGGTCAACCCATCCTTTGAACCCGTATTAATAAATTCAGCTCAAGTGCAGGATAGAAAATATGATCTTAAATCAAATGTGTTAGTTAATAAT